TTTAAAGTTGTCCAAATGAAGTTCTTAGCAATGCATAATACTAATCAAAAATTAAGTTTTGATATATTTACGGTAGAAAATTTACAAAATATTTTCATGGAACATGATCTTTAGTTACGGTAATATCCTAATGATTTTTGTCATAAAAGAAAAATCTATAATTTTGACCCATACAATGTTTTTTTGGCTATTGCTACAAATATACCCCAGTGACTTAAGACTGGTTTTGTGGTCCAGGGTCACATATATTATATATTAATAAAATAATAATAATTTCTTCAATCAACTGACAGCCTTAATAAACATACCTAATCGACCTAATCGTGTTACATCAAGCATCAGGTCACTTACCGCCCATGCAGGCCTCGTGCAGCGGAGAGAAGGTGAAGAGGGGAGGATTTACCGTGGCTCCATGCTCCAACAGCAGCTTCACACACTCCAGGCTACCAGCAGCACAGGCATCACACAACGGAGTGCTGCTGTCAATGTTACGAGCATCAACCTGTTAACAATGACACTAATATAAACAACTGATGCGCTGACAGATTCATGAGGCCTGCAGTCTGGAGAACATTCTTACATGAGCTCCAGCATCCAGGAGCAGCTTCACACACTGTGTCTGGCCCTGAATACAGGCCTCATGCAGGGGTGTAATTGAGTCCACAGCCACAATGTTGACAGATGCTCCGTTCTCAATCAGTTTTTGGAGCTGCACAGCTCTACCCTGAGCCGCGGCCTCATGCACCGCCGAACGATCGGTCCAGAACCCCAGACCATGAGCTGCAAGTAGAATGAAGAGACAGAACGCCAAAACATAGATAGGCGTTTATGGTACACATGAATGATTTTCAAATAATGCATCAGTAACGTAAAGTGAAATTTAGACACCAAAAGGAATTATGGTTTGAAGATGAGACGTCCCATTTTGGTGTCTGCATCAACTTAAATATAAGTGATTTTATATTCATATGTACTTGCATTTTAAATGCAAGTAAAGTGTCTACTTTAATGTTTCAAATAACAGACATATTTATGTAAAAATGAAACCACATACTTATTCTGACCTGTACTTATTGAAATATATATATATAAAAAAGTGATCATACAAAATTGTATAATATGTTAAATGACTAAAAATACCTTGCTGACAAATGGGTAAAATCTAGTGGTGTGAAGGATAGATTGGTAAAGATTTAAAATCACAATAATGAGTTTTTAGGAGCTGCACTGTGATCCTTAGAGCCTTTTACTGTCATCTAATGACTGTTCTAAACATACCCGACAAGATTTTTTTGTTACATAACCTACTGTTACACATGACATATTAGTGGGTGTCCTCTGTAAATCATGGTAAAAATGAATGATAGTCATTATTTATTGAAAAAAAAAACATTAAATAAATAAAATTAAACAGGACACATTCTAATAATGTATGAGACACTTTTGTTTTTAAATATATAAAAAATTATCATGCTTCTGTCACAGTAATACCATGGTATTCTTTGAAGATTAAAAATCAAATTAAGTCATTATCAATTAATGC